TTTTTTTTTCTTTTTTGAGATGGAGTCTAGCTCTGTTGCCCAGGCTGGAGTGCAGTGGCACCATCTCAGCTCACTGCAACCTCCGCCTCTGGGTTCAAGCGATTCTCCTGCCTCAGCCTCTTGAGTGGCTGGGATTACACACCACCATGCCTGGCTAATTTTTGTATTTTTAGTAGAGACAGGGTTTCATCATGTTGGTCAGGCTGCTCTCGAACTCTTGACCTTATGATCCGCCCACCTCAGCCTCCCAAAGTGCTGGGATTACAGGCATGAGCCACTACACCCAGCTACATTTTTCTTTGAGATGGAGTCTCACTCTGTCACCCAGGCTGGAGTGCAGTGTCACAATCTCAGCTCACTGCAACCTCCACCTCTAGAATTTCAGCCATTCTACTGTCTCAGCCTCCTGAGTAGCTGGGACTACAGGCATGTGCCACCATGCCCAGCTAATTTTTGTATTTTTAGTAGAGACAAGGTTTCACCATATTGGTCAGGCTGGTCTCAAACTCCTGACCTCAGGTCATCTGCCCACCTCGGCCTCCCAAAGTGCTGGGATTACAGGTGTGAGCCATCACACTCAGCTGGCGTTCTTTATATATTCTGGATGAATCATTTTTCAAATGTATATAATGCAGATATTTTCTCCCACTTTGTGATTTGCCCAACAAAATTTGGGCAAAAGCAAAATTTTAATAACAAAAGCAATGGAAGCATCCCTTGTATCCAGCTGAAGAGGACTGGATAAATAACATAAAATTAAATATTATAAAAATCCATAGGTGCTAATATAGAACAATTTCTAAAACATAGTGAAAAATGCAAAATGTTTCATTTGTGTATTTAAAAGAATATAAAAATAGAAGGATACAGAAAGCCTTTTTTTTTGAGACAGGCTGGCTCTGTCATCCAGGCTGGAGTGCAGTGGCTTGATCTCAGCTCACTGCAGCCTCCGCCTCCCAGGTTCAAGCAATTCCTGTGCCTCAGTGTCACGAGTAGCTGGGACTGCAAGGTCGCACCACCATGCCTAGCTAATTTTTGTATTTTTTACATTTTACTTTAAGTTCTGTGATACATGTGCAGAGCGTGCAGGTCTGTTACATAGGTATGCATGTGCCATGGTGGTTTGCTGCACCTACCATCCCATCATCTGGGTTTTAAGCCCCGCACACATTAGATTTTTGTCCTAATGCTCTCCCTTCTCTTACCCCCCGCCCCTGACAGGCCCCTGGTATGTGATGTTCCCCTCCCTGTGTCCTTGTGTTCTCATTGCTCAACTCCCACTTATGAGTGAGAACATGCGGTGTTTCGTTTTCTGTTCCTGTGTTAGTTTGCTGAGCCAGCTTCAGCCATGTCCCTGCAAAGGACATGATAATTTTTGAATTTTTAATAGAGATGGGGTTTCGCCACATTGGCCATGTTAGTTTCAAACTCCTGACCTCAGGTGATCTGCCTACCTCAGTCCCCCAAAGTGCTGGGATTGCAGGTGTGAGCCACCTCCCTGCCTGGCCCAGAAAATTAATTGTAGTTGCATCTGGGGATGGGGGCTGCCTGTTTCTTTCTGTAATCCCTTCTGTGCTGTTTAAGTTTTTACTTTGGGCTGAGCAAGGTGCCTCATGCCTATAATCCTAACACTTCAAGAGGCGCGTGGATCCAGGCACCACTGCCGAGGCGCATGGATCACTCGATGTCAGGAGTTCGAGACTAGCCTGGCCAACATGGTGAAACCCCATCTCTACCAAAAAATATAATAAAATAAAATACAAAAATTAGCCAGGCATGGTGGCTACATGCCTGTAATTCCAGCTACTTGGGAGGCTGAGGCAGGAGAATCATTTGAACCCAGGAGGCAGAGGTTGCAGTAAGCTGAGATCATGCCACTGCACTCTAGCCTGAGTGGGAGAGTGAGACTCCATCTTAAAAAAAAAAATTTACTTTTTGCAAGTTGTTTTCATCAATTTAATAAATTTAAATAAAAAACAAAAGTATAAATTTGATATTAACAAAATGGAAGCATTTGGTAATCATATATTTTGGGTTTTGTGCTTCCCCTGCAGCTCTCTAGATGAGACCACCTATGAAAGACTAGCAGAGGAAACGCTGGACTCCTTAGCAGAGTTTTTTGAAGACCTTGCAGACAAGCCATACACATTTGAAGACTATGATGTTTCCTTTGGGGTACCTCTCAACTTCTTTTAATTTTTCTGTTTCTCCCGTAGAATTTTAGTTCACTCAAATGAAGAATTCCCCTCTAGCAGAGCTAAGCATCAAGTAGCATGGAGTTGTGGGTAGGATTAAAAGACTAGAGTTTGGCTGGGTGCATTGGCTCACGCCTATAATCCCAGCACTTTGGGAGGCCAAGGTGGGCGGATCACCTGAGGTCGGGAATTTGAGACCAGCCTGACAAACATGGAGAAACCCCATCTCTACTAAAAATACAAAATTAGCCAGGCATGGTACATGCCTGTAATCCCTGCTACTCAGGAGGCTGAGGCAGGAGAATCACTCGAACCCAGGAGGTGGAGGTTGCAGTGAGCCAAGATTACATCATTACACTCCAGCCTGGGCAACAAAAGCGAAACTCCATCTTAAAAAAAAAAAAAATACTAGGGTTCAAGCAGCATACCTCTACCAGGCTTGTTGTGACACTGGGCAAGTCACTCAGCCTCTCTTACCCTCATTTTCCAGCTTCACTGGATACCATGAAGACAAATCAGAGAGGGGCCTGAGTGTGTGTTTGTCAAGCAGGCATGCATAAGGAACACCAAACTAGACCCATAGTTCTTCAGCAGGGGTAAGATAACTGCCCAAGTTATTCAGATTACAAGGACGTGAGCCCTGCTTCTGTGAGACAGTGATGGGGTAGGTCGGGGTACATTTCTGGGAAGCATATTTTTGAAAAGCTCACCTGGGATTCTAATATGTATTCCTAGGTCTCATTCCTAGAGATTTTGATTACTTGGTCTGGGGTGTGGCATGGTCTGAGCAGGGCATGGATTTTTAAGCTCCACAGATGATTCTAATGTGCAGCTAGTATGAGAACTTTTTTTTTTTTGAGGGAGTCTCACTCTGTTACCCAGGCTGGAGTGCAGTGGTATTATCTCAGCTCACTGCAATCACCACTTCCTGGGTTCAAATGATTAGCCTGCCTCAGCCTCCCAAGTAGCTGAGATTACGGGCACCTGCCACCACACCCAGCTAATAATTTTTGCATTTTAGTAGAGACAGGGTTTCACCGTGTTGGTCAGTCTGGTCTTGAAGTCCTGACTGCAAATGATCCGCCCTCCCTCAGCCTCCCAAAGTGCTGGGCTTACAGGCGTGAGCTATCATGTCCGGCCTGGTGTGAGAACTTCTAAGTTGGATGAAACATTAGCCCCACATCCTAGAAGCCAGGGAAGTGCTGGTCTTTATCGACTGGCCACCAGGTGGCAGATTTGAGCAAGGGTCTGCCTTTTGGTTTAGAATTATTGCTTAGGCCTTAGAGTAGTTCTTTTTTGCCAGTGGGAGAAAATCCCTCGAAGATGGTTTTGTTTGTTTGTTTTGAGACGGAGTCTCTCTCTGTCATTCAGGCTGGAGTGCAATAGCGCGATCTCGGCTCACTGCATCCTCCGCCTCGGGTTCCAAGCAATTCTCCTGCCTCATCCTCCCAAGTAGCTTGGGTTACAGGCATGTACCCCCACACCCAGCTAATTTTTGTATTTTTAGTAGAAACAGTGCTTCACCATGTTGGCCAGGCTGGTCTCAAACTCCTGAACTCAAGCAACCCTCCCACCTCAGCCTCGCAAAGAGCTCGGATTACAGGCATGAGCCACCACTCCTGGCCCCTTGAAGATGTTAATCCTCTTGATGGCAATTAACTAATACCACGAAATGTATAGACAGGGCTTTAAAAATGCTGGTGCAGACAGCCCTAGAGGACCGGGAACCCTTACAAACTAACCTGCCAACTCGAGCATCCACAGGCTGATTAGAGGTGGGAGAGTTAAGGGCCTCCTCTCCCCTAGCCTCTACTAGAGCCTGTAGTAACTGCAGGAAAACCAAGTCTCAGGCTAAACTCTGCCCACACATGCTATGAAATGAATGACATTAATGTCCGCTCTTCAGGTTTATATGAGGATCAGTTAAAATGACATAGGTAAAAGTACATGCTAGCAAGTTGGTATCTACTTTAGAAATGTAGGAGGTCATATGTGTGTGAAGCCTCCTGACTCAACATGCCACCTTATATGTGTCTGTTTCTACAAGTGAGCTGCTGACACAGTAATCACTATTTTTGCTCCTGCTAGATAGGGCTGATCTTAACTAGGAGGAGTCCATAAGACTCACCAGCTGTGGCCACTGCCTGTGCTGATTGGCTAGTGCCTGTGTCTCAGCAGCTGCTACATATTTTGACAATCCCCCTGCACTTAAGGCCATGCACACTCCTAAAATAGACTCAGATTGTCTAAGGAACAATGATAATGATGAAGAGAAAGCCCTCTTTATCTGGTCTATTTTTAGTCAGTTCCAAAAACATTAAGAATTTCTGCTGAACTAATGCAGCTAGTTTCTTTCCTGTTGCCACTTTCCTTCCAAAATAGTTCCAAGATCTGTGGGGGAAAAAATCTAATTATAGTGAGTGGACTGGTGGGAGGAAGTTGAGCATTGGGGTTTTCTGCCCTGTGTACTTGCCCTTAACTTGGGTAGATGGCATCACAGTGCGTGGCCATCATCCACCATCTCACACTCATTCACCATTTGACCAGTTGGTCATTCATCCGCAAATGTCCTTTTTGCAGGAGGAATGGAGGTGCTAGACCTGCAGATGCCAGCATAAAAAGACAAATCTCCTGCCACCAAGGTGCTTAAAGTAGTGGTGGTCAGGGAACAAGCAAGCCGACAGGCAGCTCTGAATGCAAAGGCAGGAAGCACCATGAGGCAGTGGCACCCACAGAGGGGCAGCAGGGTAGAGGTGAGCGGGTCTTATGTGGGGAGGGAGGAAGTGGACTGCAGAGAAGATGCCAGTGGGTGGAAATAGCTTGAGAGCTGTGCAGCTAGAAGGGTTCTACCTTTGTTTTATTAATATACCCTTTGTGGTGGGGGAAAGGCCAGGCGCAGTGGCTCACGCCTATAATCCTAGCACTTTGGAAGGCCAAGGTGAGTGGATCAGGAGGTCAGGAGTTCAAGACCAGCCTGGTTAAGATGGTGAAACCTCATCTCTACTAAAAATACAAAAAATAGCTGGGCACAGTGGCAGGAGCCTGTAATCCCACCTGGGTGGCAGAGATTGCAGTGAGCTGAGATGGAGCCACTGCACTCCAGCCTGGGCGAGAGTGAGACTCCGTCTGCAAAAAAAAAAAAAAGAAAAAATGCCCTTTGGGAAAGACTGGCCTGATGCCTGGAGTCACTCAAAAGATTTCCAATTCTAATAGGAAAGAGTCAGTTTTGGCTTCAGTGATTGCATGTACACCCCCTGATTCACTGTCTGCTGAGGCATTGTGGTGATGGACACAAGAGTGGAGCCCTTGAGCTTGCATCAGCCCCGAGTTCTTGCTCTGAGTCCTCGAAGGAGGCAGGAGAGAGATCATGGGAGACAGGCATGGTGAATGTGACTTGCCCAGGGCCCACCGCTGATCAGTGATGAGACCGGACCTGGAACTCGCCTCTTATACTCAATCCTCTGCCCTTTCTGCTGAATGGTGGCCCTTCTAGTATAGGGCGCAACACACAATTGTGGCATTTAGGAGCCCCAAAGAGGACAGATTACCAATGATTGTGTGTTGATTCTTTGAGCTTGTTATCTCATGGAAAAATAATTTATAAAACTCTGGCCGGGCACTATGGCTCCCCCCTGTCATCCCAGCACTTTGGGAGGCTGAGGCAGGCAGATCACGAGGTCAGGAGTTTGAGATCAGCCTGGTCAACATAGTGAAACCCCGTCTCTACCAAAAATACAAAAATTAGCCTAGTGTGGTGGCACGCACCTGTAGTCCCAGCTATTTGGGAGGCTGAGCTAGGAGAACCGCTTGAACCCAGGAGGCAGAGGTTGCCGTAAGCCAAGACCACGCCATTGCACTCCAGCCTGGGTGACAGGGTGAGATTCCGTCTCAAAAAAAAATAAAAAATTTTCTGTGTATGGGCTGAGTGGAAAATGGGGAGTGAGTGTTAATGGGTGCAGGGTTTCTTTTTGGGGCAATGGAAATAGCCTGGAATTAGATAGTAGTGGTGTGTGCACACTTTGTGAAATACTAAAAACTCCTGAAGTGTACAGTTTTAAGAAACATTTGTTTATTTATCTTTGAGACAAGTTCTCTGTGTCACCCAGGCTGAAGTGCAGTGGCGTGATCACTGGTTTTGTAGCCTCAATCTTCCAGGCTCAGGCGATGCTCCCACCTCAGCTACCGAGTAGCTGTGACTATAGGTGCGCACCCTCACACCCAGTGAATTTGTAATATTTTTGTAAAAACAAGATTTCACTATGTTGCCCAGTCTGGTCTTGAACTCCTGGACCCAAGCGATCCTCCCACCTCGGCCTCCCAAAGTGCCAGGATTATAAGCATAAGTCACTACATGCAGCCTCAGTTTTAAGAAACTGTTAAATAAATGAAATATAGTCATACTAAAAAAGTAAAAATGGATTTCAGGAAAAAAAATGTTTTTTAAACAAACTTATGTATAGTATAATCCTAGCCCTTTTATTATTTTTTATTTTTTAAGACAAAGTTGCCCAGGCTGGACTGCAGCGGCGGGATCTTGGCTTACCGCAACCTCCACCTCCCAGGTTCAAGTGATTCTCTGTCTCAGCCTCCCAAGTAGCTGGGTTTACAGGCATTTGCCATCATGCCTGGCTAATTTGTTTTTTTAGTAGAGATGGAGTTTCTCTTGGTAAGAGTGAGTCTTGAACTCCTGACCTCAGGTGATCCGCCCACCTCAGCCTCCCAAAGTGCTAGGATTATAGGTGGGAGCCACTGCGCCCAGTAATCCTAGCCCTTTTTTAAAAATCCTTTCAAAAACTGGCAGTCAAGTCATAAAAGGACAAATACTTATGATTCCACTCATGGAGTAGTCAAAAGTAGTCAAAAATCTTAGAAACACCACCACAAATATATAATTTTTATTTGTCAGTTGAAAAAACAGATGAGTCAAAATCATAGAAACAGAAAGTAGACAGGTGGTTACTAAGGGCTGTGGGACAGGGAAGTTAGTTTCTAATGGGCATAGGGTTTCAGTGTATCTCTGCTGCTGTGTATCTCTGCAAAAAAGTTCTAGAGTTATGTTGCACAGCAGTGTGAATATACTTTACCATACACTTAAAAATGGTTAATATGGTAAATTTAACTTTATGTGCTTTTTACAGTAATAAATTTTTTTTTAAATGGGGCCTAGTACAGTAGCTCACACCTGTAACATAATCCCAGCACTTTGGGCGGCCGAGATGGGAGGATCACTTGAGGCCAGAAGTTTGTAACCAGCCTGGTCAATATAGTGAGACCCCATCTCTACAAAAGAAAAATGTTAAAATTACCCAGCCGTCGTGCCTGTAGTCCCAGCTCTCAGGAGGTAAGGGCTGAGGCTGAGGATCACTTGAGCGTAGGGGTTTGAGGCTGCAGTGAGCCATGATCCTGCACTACCGCAGCCTGGGCAACAGAGCAGAACCCTGTTGTAAAAAACAAACAAAAACTGGCAGCTGATACCTAAGAGTGAATATCTTTTATCGCTGGATAATGGGATCGAGAGTGCTTTGTGTTATAGAAAGAACAGTGTCTTTGGACCCATACAAACCTGGATTTCAGATTAGCTCTGCCAATTACTACTAAGTACTCTTTACTGTGAACCTCTGTTTTCCTCATCTGTGAAACTGGAATAATGAATCCTACCTCCAACAATTGTAGTCAAGTTGGAAACAATTTATACAAAGTGCCGAACACCTAGCATGGCACAGCAGGAACTGAGCAAATAGTGGTTAATGTTTTTATCAGTGTTTTCGTTTTCTTTACGCTATCTGCGTTGCTGACATCTGTATCATTTCTATACATTTCTTTTTGAATCAGAAAAAAAGTTATTAAAAAAATAACCCAGTAGTAACCCTTGTCCCATTCCTATCAGTTATATTATTATTGTTACTACCCTCTGGCATTTAGATAGCTTTGTTTGTCTTAGAAGAGCATTACAAACAAATAGCGTCTTTGTGTTTGGGGTTTTTTGTTTTGTTTTGCTTTGCTTTTGAGACAGGGTCTCACTCTGTCTCCTAGTCTGGAGTATAGTGGTGTTATCTCAGCTCACCGCAGCCTTAACCTCCGGGGCTCAGGTGATCTTCCCAATTCAGCCTTCTGAGTAGCTAAGGCCACGGGCGCAAGCCACCACGCTAGGCTAATTTTTGTATTTTTAGTAGAGACAGGGTTTTGCCATGTTGCCCGGGCCGGTCTGAAACTCCTGGGCTCAAGCAATCTGTCTGCCTCGGCCTCCCAAAGTGCTGAAATTTCAGGCATGAGCCACCGTGCCTGGCCTAAATAGCTCTCTGTATTTGCAAAAGTGTGTTGTCAGAATCATTCAGGGCCTCTCAATTGGATGGAGACTCTAGAATGCACAGAAAAAGGCTGCCACTGTGTATCTCTGCAAGTCACGCACAAGATGAGGAACAGCAGGCTCCCTCCTGCTTACCAGTTTCAGTACAGAGAACTGAGCCCTGTAGCTGTCTCTTTCATATCCCACCCATTCTAAAGGGACCACAGGCCTTAGGAGTAAAGGACTCTTGTTGAAAAAGAGTGTTTTCAAATTTAAATGAGCATTTATTGGTCAAAGATGGATCAACCAGTCTTTTGAAAAATTCAGGGCTCTTGGGAGAAAAATAAAGCCTTGGAGGAGTGTCTGAGTAGCTTGATAGATGCGTGGGAAGGGTCTGGAAATAAAAAACTTCATCTGGAGCTTCTGCCTTCTACCAACAGAGCCGAAGCTACTGCTCTTCTAAGACAAGCAAAGCAGGTGGTTTGAGTACTTCTTTCCTTTCTTTTACTTCTTCTGTAATAGACTTGTCATGTCTGATGTTTGGGCTGATGTGGTACTCTAATAGAGTTAGAGTCTGCGTTTTTTACTGTTCTCTGGTATGTTGTGGTTGATAACAGGGCAACAAACCAGCAGTCCCAGATGCCAGCACCAAGACCTCAGACAGGTCACTTAGCTCTCCAAGCTTCATCACCATTCTCACTTTGCAGACCTCACAGGGAACAGAAAAGCTCTATAAGATACAACATCATTATGACTAATCCTATTCTGATTCTGAAAGCAAAGCTTTTTCTACACAAACTCCTATTTCTAAATGCTGAATTAAACATATTTCTTTATGGTGTATATTGTATACTTGTAGAAATGGCAAGTGTTGAGATAAAACATGAAGCATTGATGACAAAGTGCTAACTTTGTCTTGTTTTAATTTCTTCATGCTTTTTTCTACCGAATTCCCTAGAGTGGTGTCTTAACCGTTAAACTGGGTGGAGATCTAGGAACTTACGTGATCAACAAGCAGACGCCAAACAAGCAAATATGGCTATCTTCTCCATCCAGGTATGTTGAGAATTCAGCATCTGTAATCCTTAAAGACTTCCACAATGTGACATTGTGGACCATTTAAGAAATGTCGGCTGAGCACGGTGGCTCACACCTGTAATCCCAACACTTTGAGAGGCTGAGGTAGGAGGATCACTTGAGGACAGGAGTTCAGAACCAATCTGGGCAATACAGTGAGTCCCTGTCTCTGTAAAGAAAAGAAAAATAAAGTCACGGTTAAGCATGGCAGCTCACACCAATAATCCTAGCACTTTGGGAGGCCATGGCCTGTGGGTCGCTTGAGCTCAGGAGTTTGAGACCAGCCTGGACAACGTCACAAAACCCTATCTCTACTAAAAATATAAAATTAGCCAGGTGTTGTGGCACACGCCTGTAGTCCCAGCTACTTGGAAGGCTGAGGTAGGAGAATCAATCGCCTGAGCCCAGGAGGTGGAGGTTGCGGTGAGCCAAGATCACACCACTGTACTCCAGCCGGGGCAATAGAGCAAGACTCCATCTAAAAAAAAAAAGTCACTTTTGTATGTTAATATCCTTATAAGTGAACCTTTTCTGATATTTTACAGCCTCTCTCATTCTCAGTAGGAAAGTTTACTCTAGTTATATAACTTCTCCCTGCTGACAAATTTGCCTACTGTAAGCAGGTATCAGGATATTAAGAAGGTCTGAAGTGAGTAGTTTCTAACTTTTCCAAATCCAGCCTAGACAGTTTTCATCTATTAAATCATTGCCGACTTCAAAAAAAAGCTACTTTTGAGCTTGTAGCATTTGAACAGTTGTGTTTTGTCTTCAAAGCAAGTGAAAGTTTGACCTCTACTTATTTTGAGCATTTCCGGTAAAGGGTTATTTGAATTCCCTTTGCAGGGTTGGGTTGTGTACCCTGTGGAGGTGGGAGAGTGTTTTATGTTGTTGCTCTGGAGCATTTAATCCCTCCTGCCTTTTCCAATAATGCGCTTTCAATCTAGAGGAATAAAAGATTGTGCACCCTACTCAGCTGCTGCTGGCCCTCCTGTGGGCGGCAGTGCTAATGATATGCAGAATCCTGGGACTAGTGCCGGTGAACCGGTAGATACCCTGGGTGACCCAGGCATGCACTGCTGTGGTGGTCTTTACAGTCAGGAGATGACACGCTGAGAAGGGGAGAATTAGCCCAGGGTGAGGTCTACAGAAAGGCCAGGGCCAAGATACAGCCAGCGCCTCAGGCTGGTGATGGCCTTATGTCGACCATGCTGGAGGCCAATCCTTGACTGCTCCAAACTCTCTTCTCAAGGGTTCCAGATGAAATGAGCAGGTCCTCCCGTCAGGGTCTAGGTTAGTTTCTGAAAAAGCATGAAAAGCAGGCCTCCTGAACTTCCTTAGTGACTGATGCAAAGCATGTCCTGCATGCTTCACAGCACCATGGAGAAGATCTTCAGGAGCAAACCGCAGATGATCTGAATGACAGCACTGACGGTCAGCAAACTGCAGTGGCCTGACCAAGAAACTGCAAGACAGAAGCAACGCTTGCAGGCAGAAAAGGAGAAGAGGGGGCCAGACACGGTGACTCACGCCTGTAAACCCAGCACTTTGGGAGGCTGAGGCAGGTGGATTACTTGAGGTCAGGAGTTTGAGACCAGCCTGGCCAACATGGTGAAACCCTAAAAATACCAAATATCTCTACTAAAAATACAAAAATATAGCTGGGTGTGGTGGCAGGCACCTGTAATCCCAGCTACTTGGGAGGCTAAGGCAGGAGAATTGCTTGAACCCAAGAGGTGGAGGTTGTAATGAGCTGAGATCGTGCCACTGCACTCCAACCTGGGTGACAGGGCAAGATTCTCTCTCAAAAAAAGAGAAGAAGGAAAGACCAAGGCAGGAATGAAACAGGCCATGAATGTTGGAGTAAAGCAACTGACCTCCCTGCCCCACACGCCGCTGAGTGTCCTGCCTCTGCTCAAGGGTGATACGATGGGGACTTGTCAGTGGAAGGGAACAGGGACGCTGGACATGGTGGTCCCTCGTGTCCCTCTTGTCCCCCAGCCACAAGTCCCTCTGAAGAGTGTGGATGACAGTCGTGACTTAGGTGCATCTTTCGAATGTCCTGAGGGGAAGATTGTAGAAGCAAACCAAAGAACTCACAGCTCAAGTCCAAACTCTGCTCCGGGAGTAGGCCTCTGCAGGATGCAAGGGCACAGAGGGAGACGGAGCCCCCGAGGCTACAGCTGATGCTGCCCTCTCTGCCTGAACTGCACGAAAAACATGTGATGAGGCCATAGCGGGAGTCCACAAAGGCAGCCGCCTGCTGCCCAGACCTCTACCAGAGAATAAGCAAGGTACATGAAAACTTGAACTGCACCCATGACCAAGAAGATGGCCCAAAACCTGGCCCAGGAATTGAAGAAAGACACTTCCAGTTGTCAGGGGGAGAACCTCTGCTATAAGAAAATGGCCCAGGGGGCAGGCACAGTAGCTCATGCCTGTAATCCTAGCACTTTGGGAGGCCGAGGCAGCAGATCACTTGAGCTCAGGAGTTCAAGGCCAGCCTGGGTAACATGATGAAACCCTGTCTCTACTACAAAAATTAACTGGGCATGGTGGTGTATGCCTCTGGTCCCAGCTACTTGGGAGGCTGAGATGAGAGGATTGCTTGAGCCTGGGAGGCGGAGGTTGCAGTGAGCCTAGATCACACGGCACTCCAGCTTAGGTGACAACCCCATCTCAAAAAAAAAAAAAAAGAAAGAAAAAAGAAAACAGCCCAGGAAGGCTGGATGGCCACCGTGTCTGCTGAGAGAGTGCTCCAGACACTCCGAAAAGAAAATGACCACAACAGGCAGAAACGGGCTGACTATGAGGCCAAGTTCCAGTCTTTTCCAAGTGGCCTTTGGCTCCTGGGGCACCACCCACAGCTGACAGGAGCCCAGAAGTGCCCTTGGGATCATGGGCTGCCAGGGACCCCATGAGAGAGGCAGGTCAGAATGCGAGGGCTTGGGTCCAGGGCTCCAGCTAGTTTTATTCTGTTTTCCTTGTAGCTGGGTCCAGAGACTCAGCAGAACAGCAGCCAGTCCTGCTCCCTTTGAAACACTTTTGATTGATCTCTTGTTAATTTAGCAACTATTATTAGTTGACTTGCTCTTATTGAAGTTTGATTGATAGTGTTAGGAAGGCACAATTTTTCAAATAAAGGTTGTTTAATATAAAAAAATTTTTGATTTTTTCCTCTTAGCTTTTCACATTGGTTTAAAATATCTTTGATCAGGCTGCATTTCTAATTTTTTTGGTTTTTTTTTTTTTTTT